ACCCCATACAGCCCCATTGACCAGGTGGAACCTCCCCCCGCAACCAGGCGCAGCTCCCCCGGCACCGTCCCGCTGACCGGGCAGCCCTCCCCCGCATTCTCTACTGGAATGTTTACTTGGCTCTGGCACTCCCGTTTCTGGAATGGCAGTTGAACCAAAATGACAGTCACTCACTGAGTCACACTGACTGTGGGGTAACCCTGTGACCTCAAATACAACAACTTGGATTTGCCACATCGTGTAAGACACAGCAGTCTCCTTACTACTCCTCACCTGCAACATAGGCATGTAGCCCATCAATCTCGATTACCTGCTGCCCCAATGTGCGTCGTCCTGAGGGAAGTCCCATTGCCATGATCGCATCGGTCACTAGGACCAACCCTGCAACAGGACAGAGACCAGAGAAAGGTACTCACAGGCAGGGCAGGCAGATAGATCACCCATAGATCACTTCTCAGGGGGAGGGCTGGAAGGAACAGATGCAGCTGACCTGTAAATAGGCCACAGGCTAAGGATTAGCCCCTTCCCTGGCACTGCTTGGTAAATAGGTGAGAAAACAAGTGCCAATACTGACACAAAGAGTCCACAGAGGGATATAGACAGGTAAAGCAAGTGGGCAAAATCTTGGCAGATGGAATACAAAATGGGAAGATGCAAGGCTATGCACTTTGAAAAAGTGATATCTAGTTCTACATTGTCCCACATCTTTTCCTCATCCATCTGTCAAGATCCCTCAGCACCTTATACATTTCAGTTAGTCATAAAAATATTGGAGGTGTGGGAAAGATTGTACCTGACAGACAGTCAAAAGACACCCAGTAGGATAAAAAGATACATCACTTTTTGACTGGGTGTGGGGATGGAGTTCCACGAGGATGATGTGCGAGTGGATGGACATGTCAACTAGACCAACAGTGCGGCCTTTACAGGAAGGTCAAACCCAGAGTTGGTGACCTGGCAATGAAGGATGATGACGGACTCAGGACTCTGATTAGGATTTTACCATCTCTGTTCTATCACCAATGTCTAGTCTAAAGTGAGAGTGATGTCTGGTCAGTTAATGTTGCAGGGAGAGGGGGAAATTGCTGCTTGGCCTTTTACCTGTGGGGTGCGCTCGATATGCGATCCTCAGAGCTGCAGGATTCGTATGGATCCCATCAGCAATCATTCCATAGAATATGGATTGTCCGACAGGAATCTCATTGCTAGTCAGAAGGCCCACAATTCCTGGATCACGGTGGTGAAACTGAGGGAACAGAAACAAAGGTGTGAATTGAGTGGGTCACATCTCACCTCAAAATACAAATCATCAAAGAGACCGAACCATCCCTTGGACAACTGTGGTTGTGTGAGAGTTTCAGTGTTGTTATACTGCCCGTTATGTGATCTGAACTGTTAAGAATACTCCCATCCCAAACTTCCTGACCCTGTGAAATGCTCCTCCAGGGCTGACTTCATCGCATGGGACCTACTTCCAGTGACAAAGGCACTATACATCACACTGCTGCTTGGGAAAGCTGCTATGCACTAATTGGCTGCTGCTTTTCTCACATCACACAAGGGACTAAGAAACGCTTTGGAATGTGCTGGGAAGGTGAAGGGCACTATTGAAATGCAAATCTTTCTGTATTTTCACTCCACAAGGTCAATTTTTGCAGCTGCATTGTCAGAGATTTTGTTAATCAACAAGTGAAAGCTCCACTGCATTAATCACAGGGTGGAAAAAGCTCAATCACAATATGGAAGAGGAGCAATTTAAGGTATTGGTATATTTCACTTTTTATGATCCCATTACATTCCAGAATGGGTTCTTGTGCATCCATCAGACAGTAAGGAGTCCCTCGATTTATGTCTCATCTGAAAGACAGCACTTCCAACAGTGCAACATTCCCTCAGTCCTAGCACTCCCTCACTGCCAACCCTCCAGCAATGCAGCGCTCCCTCAGTCCTGCTTTGGGACTGCCATGCTGGATTTCCTGTGCTGTAATCTCGGAAGTGGAACTGCCTGCCGATTCAGAGGTGAGCATGCTATCTAACTAGCCAGTGCTGACACAGGGGAATGTGTCATTCTATCAGCCTGCTTCCTGGTGTGTGGTGAGTTGTGCAGGGCTGTACTCACGGGCAGCATGGCGTTGAAGAGGTGGGTGATAAAGGTGGCCCCTTGTTTCACTGCGGCTTCAGCTTGTAACAGGTTGGCGACAGAATGTCCTGCAAAGGTTTCAGGCAAGAAAACTTATACATTGAAAAACAATTCCCCGCACAAAATCAAACTTTCTGTCAATTTTTCTGAAAGGAAGAGGGAGGGAAGAAGACGGTTTCTGTCAGAAGAGATGGATGGGGAAGGAAAGGTGACAGAGGAGCAGGGGGAAAGAGGGAAAACCAAGAGGGGGACTAGGAGGGAGGCAGAGGGGACGAAAGAGGGGAGACACACTGTTTTGGATGGCAGGGCGACAGAAGGAAGAGAGAGCTGTTTTTTGAGGTATAATGAAGATAGCAACAGGAGGTGGCCATTCAGCCCCTCGAACTAGCTCTACCTTTCCAGGCTGTGGCAGACCATCTACTTCAATAGACTTCACTATATCTCTCGATGTCATTAGGAAGCTCTCGATCACTGTCTTTTACTCAGCTTCCACACCCCCTTGGGTGGAGAATTCCAAAGATTCACTACTCTCAGATGAAGAAGTTCCTCCTCATCTCACCTTTAATTCTGAGACCGTGTCCCTTGGTTGTCAAGCCCACAGTAAGGGGAAACTTCCTTTCTTCATCTTCTCCATCACCTAAAAGAATTTTTTATGTTTCTGTGAGTTCACCTCTCATTCTTCTAAGCTGTAGAGAATGCAGGCCCAGTCTCTTAAATCCTCTTCCCATGAATCTGTCAGATGAATCTCTGCTACTGTCCCTCTATAGCAAGCATTTCCCTCCTTAGGCAAGGAGACCAGAACATAATTGAAGCAAGCCTCCTTTAGATATTTTTAATCAACCTGTTCACAGATGTTACGCCATAACTCTGAGCAAGTGTGACTTGAACTCAGGCCTCCTGGCTCCTACCACTGCATCACAACAGCCCTAATAACACCACACAACAAATACAGAAATTGCTGGAAAAGCTCAGCAGGTCTGGCAGCATCTGTGAAGGAAAAAACCAGAGTTAACTTTTCAGGCCTGGTGACCCTTCCTCACCCAGTGAGACACAGATCCCACGTCTGACCAGTTCCCTGATAACCTCTTCACTCCTGTCGAGTTCAGGAGCCAATGTGACAATTCGGACATTGTCCAGGGAGCCATACGTATCCAACAAATCCTGGAACCCGTGCTTTTCAAATATCTGCAGATATTCCTCAGGATGTGCACCCCTCTTCTCTTTGCTAATGAACGGACCCTCCAAGTGTAGACCTGAAGAGGATAGAGACAATAACCCGGTTAGAACAGCTCACCTTATACTCTCAATACCCACACGTATCCTCCTGACCTGTGACTCAGTCTTGATTCTGAATGAAAACATTGTGGGTTTAATCTCTACCCAGGTGCTGGGTCAGTCCTCTGGAAGAGCTGCATGCATATGTTTCTGTGTCTGTGTCTCTGTTTGTGTCTGTGTGCACCACCGAGATGCCAGGCTGTGCATGTGTGCACTGCAGCTGCCCAGCACCAGGAAAGAATTAAGCTGAAGAGAAAACCCATACTTACTGTTCTGAATGTGGCTCTCTATAAGATGGACTTGGTTTTCAGATGTCTTATTTGACTCATGGTTAAATCTCAGGTTAGAGAGGCTGATTAGACCTTCTACAGGATTTCCCTGCAGAAAAACCCATTGGACCTGGCTGCTGCAGGGGCATTATTTCTAATAGATTTTGTCCTGGCAAAGTATAAGCTTTAATACTTGGAAACATCGAGGTTTACTGCTGTCAGACTCTCATGGCAGTCACCAAGAGATCTGGGCAAAGTAGACAGATAGTATGTATTATAATGTCTGGGAAAGAAAGGACTGCTTTTGTGGAAACCAAGTAGAGAGCTGGTGAGGATGGAACCCATGCTTGAGGAAATGTGGATTGTGAAGGGTTAAAGACCATGGATTCACCAGAGAGCACCTAGCAACAAGAAGTCCAGAAGACACTAAGATTCACCCTGGTGAAGCAGGGAAGAGAGATGTGATTAAAGCTGGGAGGAGCTTTGGACTTTAACCACAAGACTACATCTCTGCAGAGAGTGTCATGCATAAACGTGGCACTAGACTTTCAGTTACCAGGGAATATATTTTCTGTTGTTTAACATATTAATGCTGAGTAAAAACTGGTTTATGTTGACTGCTGTCTGTTGTTACAGGAAAAATCTTACATTGTGAAATGTTATCCTTTGTGACCCTTTGAGTGTGTTACTAGGAAATTCATATCTGTTTTAAAAGAGATCAGTCTCTAAGGGGATTATAGACAGTACTCTTCAAACAAAAGAAATAGTTTTCAGCCTTGCTTGTAACTTCTTTCTATTACCCAAGAGAATAGGGAATCTATCATTTCCCCATTAGTTTCTACACGGCAATGGCTTGACCAGAGTTGACTTGGTAACCAACCAGCAAACTTGGCTCCTGTAACATAAATCGTCGTGATAATTTGAAATTTGGCACTCTTGCATTTATTCTGATGGTGCAAGGTGAAAAGCTTCGGTAACATGTCTCTTTGCAGCAATATTCAGGTTCTATCAAGCAGCTGATTCTAACAGTACTCACCCAAAATCCCTGCTCCCCTGGGACTACCATCCTTTACCTCAATTTGAGGAATAACCTGTGAAGAAAGGGACAAAATATTTCTTTTTTAAAAATCTAATTATTTGAAAAAAATCATTCTGAAGTCTGGCCAGTTTGATTAATTTATCTAGCTACATTAGAAACATGTATAAAACTCACACACTGTGCATGGGCCACACTTACATTCTGTGATACTTCCCTATCATACTATTTACATTACAGCAAGACCAAGAGAGATTCCTCCTTTCCCAGCCCAGGTCCTGTCCCACCTCCTTGGTCCATCTTTATTCAGATGTTCAGCCCATCACTTCCCGCACACAAGTGACTTCTGTTTTTCTTGCTGAGCAGGGACCTCGTGACTTACCCGGTGGTAGATGGAGACTGGGGAGGTCACAAGTGTTGGACAGAAGGAGGTCACTCCGGTGGAAAGCAGCCTCCGAGCAACCATGGATACCCCACATTTAATGTCATCTGTGGCTGTTGAGAAGTCAATTCCATATCCTCCTAGAAGCCAGACATTAACACATCAGACAACAGTCTTCAATCACAATACATGGCTCCCAGATCAAACATTTTGGAGCAACATGGATAGACTGACTCCCATGCATGTGTTTAGAATACTCATGGATAAAGAGGAATGAGTGCCAATGTCATTAATGATTGGCTGCAGGAAGTGGAAGGTGTGCAATTGGCTACAATAAGAAGACAGAGATCTCACTAGGTCGAGAAATAGAGGTGATTACAGAGATAGGGAGGGACAAGGTCATGGGTGGATTTGGAAACAAGGGTGAGAATTTTATGTTTGAGATTTTGACAGCCCAGTGAAGGATGAAGACTGGGGTGCAGGAAATAATTAGGAGATCCGACTAACCCTTCACTCACCGTTGATCTGCGTGTCGATAAAGCCCGGGGCGATGATGCTGCCCTTACAATCAATCTGAATATCCGCATAACCTTTCTCATCAAAGAACAGCTTCTCCGGGTTGAGGATCTTCCCCTCACGGACCCATAGGTCCTCCCTTCAAAACAGACACAGTTGGAGCAGAAATCGAGACCTGTTCAAACAGGTGAGGTGACTCGAGCTTCAATTTCAAGTAATTCTTACGTAAGCTGTCAGTCATTGCTCAGTGAAGAGCACACTCACCTGAGTTAGAACATTGTTAGTTTATGTCCCACTCCAGAGACAAGAGACTGAAATTCAGGCATCTTTACATTCTCCTCTGCCCTCTCAGGTCAACATACAAAATTTCATGGTATCATCTTGAAGTACACAGGAGTTCTCCCTATTCTCCCGAGCCAATACTTATCTATCAATTAAATTTACTAAAAATGATTGTCTGGTTCTTATCACAAGAATACAGGATCTACAAACAGATCTACAAACAGAAGACCATAACCCATCCACGCTGCTCCACTATTTAATGCAATCATTTCTGGTCTAGGTCTTCAACATCACTGTCCTGCCTGCTTCCCATATATGTCCCATGATTCCCTGAGGGGCTAAAAATGCAAATTTTAAATGTATTCAATGCAGCATTGGAGACTAGAAAATTTCCAAGATTCATAACTCTGAGTGAAGTACTGTCTTTTCATCTCAGTCCTAAATGATCAGCCATATATCCTGGGAATGTGTCCAATGTTATAGGTTCCCAACCTGCAGAAACAATCTCTTAGCATCCACCCTTCAAGCCACTTCAAAATCTTGTATGTTTTAAAGGGATGAAACTTATGAGACGAGTGACTATATATCAAAAGTATTTGGAACATCTTGAGGTCTTTCCTAGCTGTGCATAATGCTGTTTGCACCACTCTCCGTAACGCAGTCTCCGTTACTCAGGCACATGCTAATTCTGAAGGTTTCAGAAGACAATCAGCAATTTGCTGCATTAGCTTCTTGGCTACTAATGGAATCACAGCTGAGACTAAGCAATCTCATCTCACAACCAAAGAATATCTTCTATTTATATATTACCTTCCAACCACATTGGATGTGGAGCACATCTCTTACCTCTGTAACTTGTGATCCTTTAGAATATGACAGTTCAGGAACTGTGTGATTGGGGCATCGGACACTGATTTATTGGATGGCATTTTTAAAGGAAGAAGAAAATTTCCTGCAAGAGATAATTAAAACCATTATGATACCACACTGCTCCAAAGGTGATGACTTGTGTATTTGCTGATGCTTTGGAGACAGCAGGTTGATTTACTAAGCTGACATGTAGGGTGTGAATCTCTGGAATTCTCTATGCCAGAGAACTGTAGATGCTCAGTTGTTGAGGTTATCAAGATAGAGATTGATAGCTTTTGGCTGCTAAGGGAATCTAAGGATATAGTAATAGTATAGTCGAAGTAGAACAGCTACAATCTTAACAAATGGAGGAGCCTAGATTCTCATGAACATCAAGATTGCTCCAACATATCGACCATTGCCAAGTCCAAAACTTTGTTGGTCTGACTTTGACTGCACCTTTCAACACCATGACCTCCACTATTAGTAAGAACAAAAGCAGAGGCACATGGAAATATCAACTGAACCGAGTCCAGTTATGGTTCTGGTCAATGGTAATCCCCAGGATGTTAATAGTGGGGGATTCAGTGATGATAACACCATTGAATGTCAAGAATCCGTGGTTAGATTGTCTCTTGTTGGTGATGGTCATAGCCTGGAATTTGTGTGGCGCGAATGTCACTTGCCACTTGTCAGCCCAAGCCTGGATATTGTCCAGATCTTGTTGCATGTGAACATGGACTGCTTCAGTATCTGAGGAGTCACGAATGGTGCTGAACATTGTGCAATCATCGGTGAACATCCCCACTTCTGACCTTATGATGGAGGGAAGGTCATTGATGAAGCAGCTGAAGATGGTTGGGCCTAGGACACTACCCTGAGGAACTCCTGCAGAGATGTCCTGGAGCTGAGATGATTGACCTCTCACAACCACGACCATCTTCCTATGTGTCAGGTATGATTCCATACCCATCTTGTGCGATTCACCACATTAACACAGTGGGTACAAGAGCAGGCCAGAAGCTAGGAATACTGCAGCGAGTAATTCACCTCCTGACTCCTCAAAGCCTGTCCACCACCTACAAGGCACAAGTCAGGAGCGTGATGGAATATTCCCCACTTGCCTGGATGAGTGCAGTCCCAACAACACTCAAGAAGCTTGACACCATCCAGGACAAGGCAACCCGCTTGATTGGCACTACATCCACAAGCATTTACTTGTCTTACTTATAGGTAAGACAATGGGAGGATCTAATAAGATTAGATATGGAATTCAAGGAATTCTGTAGAAATAAATCAGAGTGTACAACTTTAGCCAGACATGTCTGGTACCTCAACTGTTTACAACTCATACTTTAACATACAAGTAACATTTATGTCACAAGCATCAGGCAATGACCATCTCCAATGAGGCTTCAAGATCACACCTGGAATACTGTATGCAGTTTTTGTCCCCTCACCAAATAAAGAATATGCTTGGCATCAAAGGAGTGCAGTGAATGACCAGAAAGTTCCTTGGATGGCAACATTGTTAATATGGAGAGAGACTGGGATGACTGGACCTGCATTCACTGGAGTTTTGACCACAAGAAACAGGAACAGAAATAAACCTCTCGAGCCTATCCCACCATTCAATAGGATCATGGCTCATCTGACATTCCTCATGTCCACTTTTCCGCATTTTCTCTGCAAACCTTGATTCCCCTTTTGATCTATCCCGACCATAAATATGCACAAGGTCTGTATCTTTGGAACTCCTTGCCACAGAGAGCCGTGGGGGCCTTCAACTCAGAGAAGAAATTCTCACCTGTCTTAAATTGGTGTCCTTTTATTCTGAGACTATGCCCTCTAGTTCTAGATGAGGGAGAACATTCTCTCAGCATTTACACTGCCAACCCCCTTAAGAACCTTATGTTTCAATGAGATTACCTCTCATTTATTAAGCTCCAGTGAATGGACTCCCAACCTGTTAACCTTTGCTTATAAGAGAATCCCTCCATATCGGTCATCACCCTAGTGAACCTTCTCTTAAAACTGCCCCCAACGAAATGGTATCTTTCCTTAAATAAGAGGACCAAAACTGCTCAGTACTCCAGAAGAGGTCTCACCAATACCTTGTACCGTCGCAGTAAGACTTCCCCACTCATCTCCAAACTTGAAATCAGGGCCAACATTCCATTAGCCTTCCTGATTACCTGCTGCACCTGTTAGCTTTCAGAGTCTCAGCTTCGTATTTCGTGTACAAGTACCCCCAAATCCCTTTGCGTTGCAGCTTTCTGCAGTTTATCTCCATTTAAAAAATATTCTGTTCTTTTGTTCTCACTTCCAAAATGAACAACTTCACATTTTCCCACATTATACTCCATTTGCTAACTTTGTGCCTGCTCAGGTAACCTGTTAACTGCTTGTATTCTTCTCACAACCTATTTGTCATCTGTAAATATGGCTACAGTACATTCACTTCCCTTCTTCACGTCATTAGCATATATTGTGAACAGTTGCGGTCCCAACGCGGATCCCTGCTGGTTACAGGTTGTCAACCTGAAAAAAGAACCCCCTTATCCCCACTCGCTGTCTCCTGCCCATTGGCTGATTCTCTATCCATCCCAACATGCTACCTCCAACATTATGGTTTCTCATATTACAATGTAACCTTTTGAGGTACCTTGGGCCTTGTGGAAGACCAAATACAACACATCCACTAGTTTCCCTATATCCACTCTGGATAGGAGTTTAGGAGAAGTAGGAGAGTCATTGAAATTGCTAATACACAAAGCTGAACAAACTGGATACAAAGGTCTACCTCCTCCGCGGAATCTAGAACAAGGGGTCACTGTCTCAAAATAAGAGCAAAGCCATTAGGACGAAGATTAGGTGAAATTTCTCCACTCTGTGGTGAAACTGTGGAAGTCTCTCCTATGCAAGGCTGTGGAAGTCAAGTCACAAATATATTGAAAAAATGGACTTCTCAACAGTAAAGATAGGGTACAGGGAGAGAGTGAGAGCATAAAGGATCAGACACGATTACACTGACCAAATGGTCTACTCCTTCTCCTATTTCTGAATGTTTCTAAGTTATTGTGTAACCTGGCAACACAATTCATTCTGTAATGAAAACAAGGCATTAAAAGAACAAGTGTAAGACTCAGAAAGAGAGGCAAGAATATCAGTTATTCAGCAAGCTTCACTGAAAAAAATGTTTCATAAAATAAAAATCAGATGTTACAAATACATTGGACATGTGAAAGTTCTGCTTACCCAATGAAATTGTTAAAGTCCACCTGAGCAGGTAAATGAGACTTGAGATATAAGCGTTACACACTAAAGGACAGTCCTTCCCTCAGTTACTGCACTGTTCTAACCCACAGTAGAGTTTGAGCCCCGACTGTTGAACTCTCACTAAGTGAGGCAAGGTCAATTATTACATCCCCAACATCCGGTTCCGAAAAAGGCTTGTTATTCTGGTTTCTCTTTAGAGAGAACTACAACCTTTACACTTTCTAAGGTCAGTTCATTCACTATCTCAACTGCTGAACTCAGCTGGATTGTGAAAAACAGATTTACTTCACTCCTTATCGCAATCCTCTCCCGATTGCATTGCGAAGGAGCAGCCACAACAGTTATTCAGTTTCATAGAGTCGTATTTGGAATTGAAAAGTTAATTGTGTTTCTCTCTTCACAGCTGCTGCCAGACCATAGTTTCTCCGGCACTTTCTGTTTTTATCATAGTGTAACTGAGGCGTACTACACAAAACTCAGCTCACTTTGTTACTCATCTCCTCCCATTCCTCTGACGGTGGAGAGCTCAAGCCCTGACACTCGTCAGAGGCAGTGTCTTTCACGAGAATGAATTTACCTCAAAAAGGGGTATCGTGAGCTCACCATTTCCCCTGAACCAACATCACACACCCACAAAAAAAATTATCCCGTTAAAAACCGAAATGACTGCGGATGCTGTAAATCAGAAACAAAAAACAAAAGTTGCTGTAAAAGCTCAGCAGGCCTGACAGCATCTATGGAGAGAAATCGTTAACGTTTCGGGTCCAATGACCCTTCCGCAGGTTATCACATTGCTGTTTGCGACAGGTTCATCGTTGTCTGCTGTGCTCGCCCAAACAGTAAGTGCACTCCAGAATATTTCATTATTTGTGAAATTAATACCCGGCGATTATAAAGACCATTTTTTCCCTTGCCACATTGTGAATGATAACATTTAGACTTCTCTACTCTCACTAAGCACCTACCGGCCGCGCCACTCCCATCACATGACTTTCGGTCAGGTGACCGGCAGGTCATGTGCTCTGCCATTATTGACGGAGCGCGAGGTGCTGTAACAAGCCGGTGCTTCCGGTGTTGGGAAAGGCGCGTTGGAGGGACATCCGGGACGATCAACTAGCCGTTTGGTGTCGGCCTTGTCGTGGGAGTGAGTATGGCAGCGGCAAAACTGGCTGGAACTATTTCTCAAATTCACTATCCGTTTGATAACAACCTCGGGGACAGCAAAGTCCTGGGGCTGAACGGTTTAAATTTTGAGGCTGTGTTTATAACAAGTGTAGAAAATTAAAGGCAATAGCAACATGCATATTTTGGATGATATAAAACATTTTGGTAAGACGGATGGAGATAAATCTTCCTCTGTGTGACGGAGAGGAGAGTCAAGAACAAAGCGTTGATGGGGACAAAACCTTAAAATTAGAGTCAGCCAGATGTCAAGAAGCACTTCTTCATACAAAAGTGGGTGGACATTTGGAAGAAGTCTGTCCTTCACCCTAACCCCATCCCCATCCAAAAAAAGCCGTTGCGTTTAGAATCTAGTTGATCTAATTTCATAACTGTGAAGGGTGATGGGATCAAAGTAACGAGCTATGGAGTGAAGATACAGATCAGCAATAATAGCATAGTCAAGGGGCCGAGTGACATATATAAGAAATAGGGGATGCCACTCGGCTCTTTGAGTCTGCTGCACTATTTAATAAGATCATGACTGATATATATCAACTGCTTCTAGCATTGTCTCCATATTCTTAATTCCCTTTGTATCCAAAAATATAGTCTGAATATTTTAAACTCAGTGACTGAGCATCCACAATTCTCTGCAGCAGTCTTCCAATGATTCACAACTCTTTTGTGGGAAGAAATTTCCCTATGTCGGTTCTAAATGGTCAACCCTAATTCTGAGACTATGATCCATAATTGTAAACCCCAGCATCTATACTGTTATGCAGTTTCAATTAAATTGCTTCATTATGAATAAATGCTTTGAATTTAACAAAAAGGCTTTTTCTGCTCAATCTCCCCATATTGAACAATCCTCTTAAACTCTTGAATCAGTCAAGTGAACTTTGTTGCAATCCCTCCTTGGGCAAGGAGACCAAAATTATATACATACATCTCGGTGAGGTTTCACCAAGGCCCAGTGTAATTTAGGTTGTTGACTTGCTCGCCGAGCTGGCTTGGTCTC